GCAGCATCATCCTACCAATGGATCAACATCATCCTACCAATGGATTATCGTCATTTTACTAATGAAGAATCATCATTATTATTTTCATTTGCAAAAACGTCATCAAGAAAGCCATCAACATATTACATCAGTCTATTTCTTATTACTTCATATCAAAAGAAGAGTGCATTGAAGAATTATATTGCAAATTTGAGATATAAGCATTATTTGCTCAATGTCAAATTGAAAGAAAACCGACATCAATTATTTGAGGGAGCATCTAAGTGTCCACACGGTAAAAGACACTATCTCCCCATTTGAATTACATTTTTATGCTAATGAGTTTTATCTCAGTCTTTATCGAGAGCATCTGAGAGGATGAATTCTCAAAACAAACCACAGGTGCGGACGACATCAACAAGGATGCAGCACAACGTGGAACTTTTTCTTAGCAGCGAACTGGGACATAGTCCGAAGAGGAGTGTCAAACTCTTAGGACGCGAGCTGAGAAGCGGCTTCCACCACAATCGAACCACACCCCTATAAAAAGGCATGTGGGTTTTTCTTTAGGTTTATCGGCTTCAGTTTCGCATCTGGAAAATTTAAATTTTCACTGGAAGCAGCTTTCCAATCCGAGTGACAATACACCAAGAGCTTTGGAAATTATGTCCGTGTAAGTTCTTACTTATGGATGTGAAGAGCTTTGCATTCATGGCTAAGAGGTTGCAAACCTTTTTTTCATACTCGACTTATTTGTCACTCTTCCAAAGCCAAAGGTTATCTTGCATACTAGATTTACTTTTCAACCGATCGAGTCGAACTACAAGCAGCCTGATTCCCTAAGTCAAGGGATATGCAGGCGGGATCAGTGTTGAAAACTCGGTTGTATTCCAACATTCTTTATTAAATCTTATTCCAGAGCATTTCGGTGCCTTTATAATTCGATACCGGGATGAATTTTAAATTCTTTCAGAGTCGTGCGTCAAATCAAGCGTATCGAACTACAAGTGGCCTGAATTCTCATATAGTCTAAGATATGTAGGAAACCCGGGGTTCGACCATAACTCTTAAAGTCCATACCAAATCCCTTTTCCAAAGATAAAGATGTGGTCGGTCAAAATTGCGTTTGTCAATTTCGTTTTCCTCAAATTTCTTTCATCAATCCAAGTCAAACGAGGGACAGTTGTTGACACCCAATTTTGACCCTCCACAACATAAATTAATCATCGAGCCTCTTAAATTCCAAACGATTTGAAATAGTTAATTTTTATAAAGTTCAAAATATTTTTCAAGTTACTTTTAATTAATCTTATCATTTTTATAATTTATAAGTAATATATATGTTTTATATAATTATGTATATAATTAGTGTATTTTATAAATATTGGACAATCGTCTCAAAAAGATTTTGTTTAATTAGATATTTGGTTAGTTTGTTTAGTTATCTAATAGTTTACAATTTTGAGTTAATTAGTTAGTTTATAATTAAGTTAATTATTATATAATTATGTGTCTAATTAGATATTTTACGAATGTTCAAAAAATTGTCTTGAAAGGATTTTAGCTTTATTTAAATATTTGGTTATTTAGTCGTTTATATTGTTAAAGCAATTAGTTTATAATTAAGTTGATTATTTTATTTCGTTAAGATTAAGAAGCTCGTTAATTAAGTAATATGAATTCGTCTTATTTAATTTGTAGTCGAATTCACTAGTTTATTAAATTTGGCTAATTTTTAAATCTGATAGAACTTTTTTCTTTTAAACCAAATCAAACCATTTGCCAACTCCCATAGCCCATTTCCCAAGCCCAACTTCTGTCCCATCCTCCATTTTTAAGCCCATTTCCCTTTACAATCAGAAAATAACCCCAGCAGCCCACAAAAACATTTCCAAAAAAACCCAATCCAATACATACAACAGCAGTAGCGTACAATATACCAAAAATGACCCCATATCATTTCTTCTTCTTTTTCACGCATACCAGACGACACAGCAACAGAACCAGCAAACCCAGAAATTCAATCGCGCAACGCGTGTCCTCTTCCCTTCTCCCTTATCTTCTCTGTACAAAAATCATCCAGGTAGATCAATCTCCTTGCAAGTTCGTCCTTGATAAAAAATCCTATGGTCCTTATCAATTTCCCGTTAAGAATCTGTTTGTTTGTACAAGTTTGGTACTAATTTTGGTTGGCAGAGTTATCTCTGGTGGAGTTTTTGAAATTCAAATTTTTTTATCCCACTCCTCATCCGCTTTCCCCCAAAAAACAAACCTAATTTCCTCTTATATAAACCCCTTCCTTCTTCATTGTTTGGGGGGTTTTTTGGGGGAGAAAAAAAAATTGCAAAAAAGAGAAAATTATTGGCAGAAAACAGTGAGAAAAATACAAAAAAGAAAACTGAAATTCATCAAGCATAAGCAAGAAAAGATCAAAGTAGAAATTAGAACGATAGTGTCTATATCACTGAGTTTCCAGATCTTCTGTTTGGAATTCGAGTTCCCCCCGTAGCTCCATTGTTGGTGGTGGTATAGTTCCCTTCTAGCTCATCATTCTCGTCTCAGTCTCGCTGCCTCGGAAAAGGTATACAACCTCGCTCTTTTTTATGGTCTTTCTTAATTTGAGTTTCGTTTGTTTGCTTAGTTGACTATATTGTTCTAATAGTTCATTAGGAGTAGGGATTTCCTCGTAGGATTGAAACTTTGGTAGTTTGTTTGTCGAATATGATCCAAGTGCGTGTTTATGGATAGTGAATGTAGTTCGAACTGTTTTCTAGCTTAAGAGTTGTTGCTTGTTGGTTTGATTTATCCACTGTTCATTCTCCTTTTTTTGTCAAAGTGGTGTAAAAAAAATGTGATAAAAGCTAGGCTATTTTCCTTTTTGTTTTGATTTACTGCTTCGATATAATAGATGTGGCTTTTTCTCTTCCCGCATGGTTAGATTGTTATTCGAGCCCCCTAATTTGAGATCATAATGCTTCATAGTTTTGCTCTTAATCTAGCTCATAGCTTTATATTCTAGATGTTTCAGATTTTTGTTCATTATTTGCTTCTACGTGTGTAAGTTTGTAATAGCTCAAAGTTCAATAGATTCATTTTCAACATGCTTCAACCTTATTGCATTTTTATTTTTTTTTGGTTCATTTTGTCATAGCTTAGGTGAGTAATTTGAGAACTGCTGCTAGCAAACTGGTTCTGTTTTTTTATTTCATGTTTAGCTCAATTAAAATCAACTTTCATACATAAGAATGGTGCATTAGTTTGTCATATAATGAATCAGTTCGGTTTAGTGGTAGCAAGTCTCAATATGTGAGTTGAAAGATATAATATTTCCCTGTGGTTTGTTTGCTGCTATCAGATGCTTGCAAATGAGATTTGATCACAATCTTGTATCTTACTTCCTTTGTGATTGTTTCTATTGGCATTAGTCCATTCTTTGTATTATTTAAATGTATTTCATTTGCATAAGATTTTATTATTATTATGTTTACTTTATCTTATATTTATTTTCTCTCATTTTACCCTACTTAAGTTAGATACAATGGGATGTCCTATTATTTGGTGATTTAAACTACCATTGTTAGCTTTGAATGAATTAGATTCTCATGTGTTTTTATTTTCTTCTCTCCATGTGACACCAATCCGAGTCCATTTTGGACTTCCCCTTGCATATCCTCGAGTTGTCTCGAGTCAGCCAACCAAAATTGAAGAATAGGTTCCCTAAAGTTGACGTACAGGTCTCGAAGTGGAAAAAAGAGGCTGGATATGCACGATATACATGAATCGTATACGATGTATATCGCATCGGAAATGGGCCAAAAGAGCCTTAAATTTTCAGCTTTTTTATTTTGTAATTATTGGGCCAAAAGCCCATTTATCTCGATCACTATTGTGTTAGTCTAGGACAGGTACCAAGTGTTGGGCCAAAGGTCCCAAAAAGCATAAATTAGGTCCAAGTGTTGGTCCGGGCGAACAGAAAACCAAACCTGGGCCTGAACCTTCTCTCCCTCTTTATTTTATTTGTTTTCATATTTGTCTAATTGTTTATTTGCTAGTTAATTCTAAGGTTTTT